GGGGGGCTGGGGCTGAGGAAGCTGTCCAGCCGGGGTGGTGCTCAGGGCCTACAGCCAGGGTGGGAATGGGCAGTTGCAGGTCTTGGCAGGGGAGTAAGATGGCACCACAGGCAGTTCATCTGGCTGTGTGCACACCAGGGGATGGGTCAGGCACCAGAGATGATGCATTAGGGGGGCATAGGAGGCATATGCCCCCAAAATTTGTGGCACAGGGCTGCAGCTTGGCTGCATCTGTGGCCCAGCAGACAGGACCTGGTGCAGGAGGGCAGAGCAAGGTGAGGAGGCTCGGTGCCACTGCCATCACTGCTGGGAAACCTGCACCAGCTGTGCCGCCATGGTGAGGTGCCCCCTGCCCACTCAGCAGCAGCAGGGGGGAACAGCACTGCACCACCACTACCACTGCTACCCTCAATGCTGTTGGGTGGGTGCAGAGGGCATCTTGCCATGGCAGCATGGTTGGCACAGGGCTCCTGGCACCAAGCCTTACTACCCCACTCCACCTTCCTATGTGGGGTCCCACCTGCTGGGCCATTGAGGCCCCTGATGGGCAGGTTGGGGCACCCCATGGCCAGAAGCAGTAAGCCTGCATCCTCCTCTGTCCACCATGGGCTCCAACTCAGCTCCACTCTGGCCATGCTGCCTAAGGAGTAGGGGTGGGGTAGGTGGGCCAAGTTCTGTACTCCACTCCAGCTGCAGCAGCTACCATCTCCTGCATATGGCAGCCAGGGCTCGGGCACTGCTGACCAGCTGTGGCTAGTGCCCACAGAGCAAGGAGCAGGTAGGATGCAGCCGCCAGGTCCCATAGCCTTGGCACCCGGGGGCCCCCTCTAGCAGGGCAGTAGGTGACAGAGGACTGCAGGTCACGAATAGGGGCCCTGGCAGGGATTGGAGGACTGTGGGTCAGGACTAAGGGGCACCAGCAGGGCTGAGGATGTGGGGGGCTCTGAGTTGGAAGTGAAGGGAATCAGCAGGGACAGGGGGCTGTGGGTGAGGAGTGAGGAGCACCAGCATGCCCAAGGGGGTGGTTGGCTGAGGGTCAGGAGTGAGGGGCACTGGCAGGGCCAGGGGGCTGCAAGTTGGGAGTGAGGGGCACTGGCCGGGACTGGGGGGATGAGAGTCAGAAGTTAGGGGCACTAGCAGGGCCAGGGAGGTGGGGGGGCTTTGGGTTGGGAGTGAGGGGCAGTGGCAGGGCCCAGGGGCTGCAGGTCAGGAGTGAGGGGCACCAGCAGGGCTGTGGGTTGGGAGTTGGGGTTAACAGCATGGGCAGGACACATACATATCAGGACTGCCCAGAGCCACAAAGCAGTGGGAGGTCAGCCACAGCTGGACCTGTATCCTGGTGAGCAGAGGGGTCAGGAGCGCTGATTTTCCATGATAAAACCCCAAAATCAAATGCCAAAATATATAGGTATTTAGAATGTATTTTATTATAATGATTGAGGCACTGGTAAGCTTCCAAACTGCTTTAAAATTGTAAATATATCAGCAAACCTTGTGTTATACTGATACCTATTTATATAGTGGCATTTCATTTTAATTGCAGAAAAACACAGATTTTGAGGTTTTACTCAGAGAATTTGTGATTTTTAAACAGAGAAAACCAGAATTCCTGCTCATGACCTACTGCTGGAAGACCCAGCACATCCATTGCTGTTGTAGTAAGTATGTGAAATCCTCTTCAGTTTGGGGTGATTGGGAAGTTTAACTCGTTGAGTACTAGCAAGAAATATGACCCTATGAGAAAACTATCCACGCTCCAAAAGAGATTTGTAACCCACTGTATTATGCAAGGACAGAAGATTTGGAGTCTTCCCATGCTGACATATGGGTTTGGAGTATTCCTGGGAAGCAGATGGAAGAGAAATTTAGTCTTGGCTAGCCTCTTCTTTTCCTGGTAATAGGACTCCGTCCTCCTCCTCCCCCTTTACCCAGAACAAGGGTTACTTCTTCCCCTTTCACTCCACCTAAATTTCATCCATCTGGCTAGTCTGCCAATTTTTTTAGTAACAAAATAAGCCTGACTGGCTGGCAGAGCTAATTAGTCCCACCTTGGCATTTGGAGTACCGGTTTTCTTTGACTTCTGACTGGGTGTCTTGTTTCAGTGGGCGCTGGCTGTTTCCTTGGTCCTCTTTATCACTCAATAGTTTTACTGCTTCTTTCTGTGCAAAGTCAGAGAGCTGCTCTGTGTATTGCCCGTAGAGCTAGAGGAGCAGACAGTGTGAGAAAGGAGATTTAAAAGGCAGTTACTATCTTGTTCACAACAGACAGGTCCACAGAAAGACAGACAGATCCAATGAGAGTAATTTGTACAGACCCAAAGATACTCAGAGAAGACAGAAACACAGAGATTCAGTCATTTACAGGTTGGCTGTCTGTCCTCCTATCCCTCTGGTGCTCACATACTTAGAGGAAACAGGAGCTTAATATTCTCAGTTGTGGCCACGGATCCAATTCCTCTGGCTGCAGTCTATGACTTCTTGTTGGGGTACATGGTACAGCCAGTAACAGCTGGGGTTTACTTCCAAGAGCCATTGGCTGTGATATGGTTTGGCATAAACACTACTTATCCCCTGTGACTGACCATCTCTTAAGCATACAGCATCTCTATCAACATTTGGCTGATTTTTGGCCCCATCCACAGCCTGTGTTTGTGCTGCAGATTCCCAATGGCTTTCACCCCAGAAATGAACCAGAGGTTCATTTCTGGGAAAAGGACATTTAGTGGGATCATAGAATCACAGTGTGGAAGGGACCTCAAGGTTTATCTTATCCAAACCGCAGTCACCTCCCATCATCCCTAACCACTGGTAGTTTGAATTTAGTTATGAACTGATGACAAATCATATCTTCTCTTTCTTTGAACTTAACAGTATCATTAACACCACATTTTGATGTGCAGCCCTGTTCTGAAAACCATCTCTAAATAAATGCTGGGATGGAACTCTATGACGCGTCTACATGTGCCCCTGACCACGCAGTTATTACTGTGCCATCCCAGCTGCACATGGGTCGTTTCAACCCTACTGCACAGTAGCGTTCGTGGCATGGTTCATCCCCACTAATGCTACATCGCTACAGCAGACGTAGCATTTTGTATAGGCATGCCCTATGTTCATCATCTCTCAGTGACTTCAGATCAAATTTTTCACTTTACAAGTAAGCTGGGTTTCTGGTTGTAGCTGTGTTGATATAAGGACATAGGCAAGCAAAGTTCTTAGGGTAGATGTGGTATGTTTTATTAGAAAACGAAAGGTAGAGCAGGGAAGGGAGGAGGGAAATGACAGAGGGAGGGAGCCAAAGGTAAGTAAGGGAGACTCTACAGTAGTAGTTTTCCAAAGTAGAAAAGAGGCTGTCTGTGAAAAAGTAAATACAGTAAAAGCTGAGTTATCTGGCACCTTACAAGCCGGCAAACTCTGTTAACCGGCATGCCGGCTTGTAAGGGCTTGTAAGGGAAAAGTGAAACACTTGTGTTTTGCAGAGCCCCCATGGCCCAGGGGAAAGCAGCCTGTGCTGTCAAGCCCCCACGGTCCGGGGCATAGCAGCCTGCACAGATCCCCCTTCCCTGTCCCTGGGGGCCCATGAGGCCTGTGGGAGGGGCGGCAATGTGGCAGGAGGGACGGCAACACCCCAGACGTGGCAGGACAGATGCGGCCTGAACAGGCAAAGGCGCCTGTTCGGGCCACTCAGTTAACCAGCATATTTTGTTATTCAGCACCCTCCATTTCTCATGGGTGCTGGATAACAAAGCTTTTACTGTAGCTGCAAATTAGGAAGACAAAGAGTAGAAAAGGAGAGGGAGGGGAGGAAGCGGGGAAACGGAAAGGGTACAACATCAGGTCAGGCAGGTACCATGTGAATCAGATCTCAAGCAGGTTGTAATATGTCATAAATCCATTGTCTATGTAACCCTTGCTGTGCAGTTCTAACCACGGCCGTGTCCAGTTGTTTGGGACCTGGGGTGCCAGGTAGCTCTACCTCTTGCTCAGCTCACATAGGAGTGACCAGAGGTTCCCTGAGAGGAAAAGCTCCCTTTACAATAGAAAGACCTTGCAGACTCATAATTAACTGTTTACAGAATTTAATTATATACAGGAAATACTTGCTACATGCATACGAACAGTAAATAATATGAAAAGTTTTAAACTCTCTATTTACGATGCACAAGGATGAGTCTATACAAGAATAACAGTTGATAATTATTTACACCTAAAGGGTGCTCAAATCAATGAAGACAAAGCTAATAACTTAGGCACTGTGTTAAATACTCGGTGTATTAAATCCCTAATTAATTATTTACAACTAATAGCCAGGCACCCCAACTTATGCCCAACAAATGGATGGAGGGGCAGTCCCTCAGTCCTCTCATCACACATTTGTGGGCTCCAGCTGCCTTGGGATATCCCATGCAGGCCCAGACGTCTTGCAGTCAGCAGAGGCTGTTTCTACTCAGACCCCTGAAAAACACAACATTTTCTCCCTGGTGTACTTGGTAGCCATGTTGGTCTGAGACAAAAGGACATACAAAAAACTAGAACTTGTGGTTCCAAAATGATACCTTTTGGTCTAATAAAAGGTATCATTTTGGAACCACAAGTTCTAGTTTTTTGTATACATTTTTCTCCCCGCACTCTTCTTTGCCTGGGCATGGCCTCTCCAAGCCCACAGAGCTGTTTACACAGTTAAACACACAGAGGGAGATCAAGTTGCCCCCAGCTGACCATGAAGCACCTCCGGGCTCACTTTTTCTTAAGGCACTCAGGCACACTGAGGCTTCGCCTCAGGTTGTGCCTTCCTAGATCTCAACCCACACACAGGCATTCTGGGACCTTTCCCTAGCTGGCATCTCTTTCCACCAAGCTGTCCCAATCCCACTACTGTCCTTTCCCCAGCCACTCACACAGGGGGTTTATCACACTCTTACCGATCCCCCGCCCCAGTCTCCAAGTCCAGCAGGGAATCGCCTTCCTACTAGAGCAGCGTTTCCCAACCGGCCTGCAGCAGCACACTGATGTGCCGTCAGGCATGTCCAGGTGTGCTGCAGCATTTGTCCTGGAGCCATGGCCCCTGCCTGCTGCTGCTGCACAGCCAGACAGACCGGGGGGCATGGCTCCAGCCAGTGATGCAAAGGCCGTGCCACCCACTTCCCCCTGCTCTGCAGCGTTTGGTCGCTTGCCACTCCCCCCGGTCTGCAGCATTCGGCCACTCGCTACCACCCCCCATCAGCCGGTGTGCCGTAGGGTGAATGAGGCCAATGTAAATGTGCCGCGGGGTAAAAAAAGGTGGGAAACACTACTCTAGAGGCTTCCTGGGGCTGTGTCCCCACCCCAAGGAATTTGTTCAGCTCCCTCACAAACTCCTCATGCTCGTCCTAGGGGTCTGCTCTCTCCTGCTTGACCCTTCAGGTGCTCCACTGGCCTCTGGCCTGCCCATGAGGGGTCCAGCAGGCACCCGCAGGGTGGGACCCTGCTGAAGGCTCTTCCCAGCCCTTTTCACGCAGCGTGCCTCTCTCTCTCCATTACGGGGGTAGGGAGACACTCTGGTTTTAAGGGGAGCCGCCCAGCCAATCCCTGGGCTGGAATTTTCCCAGGCTCCCAAACTGCTTTTTGAATCTTGCATCCCTTTGCTGAGGACAATCTGAACTAGAAATATGGTGCCCTTGTTGGGACAAGCTCCCACAAGCGTTCAGGCAGAGCCTGATGTAGAACACTTGGAAGGTCAGTGCCTCTTAAACTGCCTGTTACATCTATATTGAGTCTACACAGAACCAGCAATCACCCTAAGCCAGGGGTTCCCAACCCCTGGGCCGTGGCCCGGTACTGGGTTGGCTGCCAGTCCACAGGAGAGTTGGCTGGTGGACTGAAAGTGACTGCAGACCAGCAAACTGCAGACTAGAAATGACCGGCAGCCAACCCTTTTTTATACTGAGTATAAAAAAGTATCAGTATGCCGGCCATGTCCAATCCGTAGTTTGCCAGTCTGTGGCCACGTCTGGTCCACGGTGACTTCCAGTCCATGGTTTGCCGGTCCTCAGCATAAAAAGGTTGGGAACCCCTGCCCTAAACACACCAAGAAAGCTGTAATTTACAGCCAAGCTCTTTGATTCCACCAAGTTTGCACCAAGGAGAATACCCATGATCGCCACCTCACAAATCTCAAAAGAGCCTTCACCCAACAAAGACACTCCTCCAGTGAGACAGATTGCACTTTTGAAAGAGCCACCCGGATACCAATTGACGATTTGAAGCAGTACAAAAAGAAAATCCCCACAAACCGCACACCATTAGTTATGACCCTTCCCTGGAACTTACACAGAAAATCCTCGGTTACAACACATACTAGAAGAAGACCCAATTCTTAAAGAGCTCTTTCCAGAACTACCCATCCTACCCTTCAAACAAGCACCGAACCTCACTAACCTCATCACCAGAAGCAAATTCCCTAAGACCCAAACCACACCTAATGGATTCAGACCATGCCAGGACAAGAAATGCAAAACCTGCCAACACATCACCACCCCCACAATAACCACACCCCACAATAGAACCATTACCATTCCTGGGCCTTACACCTGCATCTCCAGAAAGGTTATATATATATATATATCTCATCTAGCACATGAAATGCCCTGATGGGAAATAAATAGGAGAAACCAAACAACAACTGCACACCAGAATGAATGCACACTGAAAATTTATCAAAGACAAGAACACCCAGTTACCTGTGGGGACACACTTCTCACAGGACAACCACTCCCTCTCCAATCTCTCAGTTCTAATCCTCTAAGGAAACTTACAAAACACCTTTTGTAGTCAAGCCTATGAACTTCACTTCATAAATCTACTGGATATAAAAAATCACGGACTCAATATAGACATTGGATTTATGACACATTACAACCTGCCTAACATCTGATTCACCAGGTAACTGCCAGACCTGACCTTGTACCCTTTTCTTTCCCACCCCTTTACTCCCCCTCCTTTTCTACCCTTTGTCTTCCTCATTTCCAGCTATTTGCTTTTTCATTTTCAGCCTCTTTTCCACCTTGGAAAACTACTGTAGAGTCTCCCTTACTTAGTTTTGGCTTTTTTCCCCCTTGTTTCCCCACTCCCTTCCCTGCTCTACCTTTTCTTTTCCTAATTTCCACCTATTTACATTCTCACTGACATCCTGTCACACTTTTAGCTTCTTTCATTCCTTGGAG